CGGTAAATAACGTGTTTATTTTTATCAGATGTAAAAATTAAATTCATTAAAATTCCAGTGTTGCTTGCGAACTAATTTGAGTAATTGAGATCAGTGCAGTGTATTTTTAAAGCGAGGCTGACAAAATTGAAAAGTGGAAAAATATAAAACACGAATACGAGAACTTGAGAAAACTGGCAAGAAACACACAAAAAGACGTACAGTTTCAGTTAATTTACAAGTTTTTTTAATGAATATGGTAGCGGAAAGGCTTTGGAATAAAACGTTTTAAGCCTGGCGTTTTGGCTTTGACAAATTCAGTCACTTCTGACAACGACAGGTTCATGTTCAGATCCGATCAGAAACACATAAAAATGAATCTGTTTTGATTTAATCAACGTTTTTCTACCAAAAGGACAATGAATAAGGTATGCACCTTTTATATTTTTGTATTTTTTCTGCTCGATTCACGATGATATGCTGAAAAAAGTGTTTTTAAACACAGACTTTTACCTTGTTTACAATATTTATATCAGTGAAAAATGCCTAACACAAATGAGCAGAGAATATGTACGTGACTAGTTTTCACTGCTGCAGTTAAACCTTCTTTTAAATGGGAAAACATTTATTTTACAATATTAATTAAGCTGTAATTTTTTCGATTTTAAGTGGCCGAATATGTCATGAGCATTTAAAAAAATCTGTGGTTTTCTCGAAAGTTTTATACATATGTCAAATAACTTTCCGACATTCAGTCGCATTTTTCTCAAATTATTGTTAGTTCTGGTGTACATCGTGCCTAGTATGATGTCTTTAGGGCTTGATGCGATTCATTTTCGTATCTGACTATCGTTAGGCTACGTTTTTCTAACGTTTTGGGCAGTTTTTTTCGTTTAAAAATTGTTTCACTCCTCATTTTTTTGCCACGAAAACCAGAGCTGGCAGTTGCATTTCACAGCGGGCAGTTGCGTCACAGAATAGAAAATAGTCCAGAAGCCTCACTTAGCCAGACTTATGTCCGAGATTTTTCATGCGCAGGCGCGAGCCAGCAAGTGTAATCACGACGCCAGCAAACGCGAGCAACGCCATCAATTGCCATCGTTTTTAAATGCCACAGGTCCAAATAATGGGTCATCGCAACAGTAAGACACGACGTAAAAACAAAAGCGTAAAATATTTGCACAATCGTAAAATATTTGCACAATAATTGCAGAATATGCAGCGTATACGTTGAGCATGTTTTGCGAATTTCAAGAAAAAACGTTGATTTGAGGAATTGACGCTGACGAACGCTGACGTGATGTTCGCAGCAAGTGTCACACACGTCATCTAGCGTGCGAAATTCGTGATCTGCAAGTCGAAAATCGCGGACACGAAAATGTTAGGGAAAGGTGTACAGTGAGGCTTCTGGTCTATTTTCTATTCTGTGGTTGCGTTTCAGAGCGGGCCGGATGCAAAAAACCGGCCCGCTCTGAAAGGCTCCTCAGCCAATCAGATTGCTTCACTCTGACTGATAAAAAATAAATAGTTTTCTTTTGCCAGAATTGGAAGCGATTAATATCATGTTACTAGGGCATAAAGGTCGAGACACATTCATTGGGATTTAATTCAATTATGTAAATATCACGCTATAAGAAGTGTTGCTATATATAGGTATTTTGTACTAGATGACGTCATTTGCTCTATAGTTTATGAGCCTCAAACTTGCTTTTGAAACTTATAATTTAACCCGAATTTTTTTATATGACGGTTAACCAAGTATAATCTTTATCGTGGTTTGATAAAAGAACGGTAAACGGGCTATTACAACGGTTAACGGCGACTCCAAATTAAAACAATAACTAGAGCTATTATTTACTATAAAATCTTGCTGTTATCCCCGTTTACCGTTGATACCACATCAAATCTTTTCGTTAATCGTTTGAAATGTTCTTATATATTATTATAAAACGTTTATGCTCCAAAAGTCATGGCGATATACTCGTATTTCTTCATTATGGCCAATTTGAACATTATACAGCGACCCTTTCTTCCTCGTGGGGGGTCGCCATACTATAATAACCTTAGACTGCGAGCGGTCCCTCCTTTCCGCGGGTTTAGATTTCCGGGCATGCGAAAGGAAAGGAGGGACTGCAGACAACACATCAAGAAATGAAACCGCGTTGCCCACACAACGAAAAATTCCCATTGGTCGAAATCGATACGCCTGTCAATCAAATCTGATATGTAGTAATTATGCTATAAATAACTTCAAGAACTGAATGTTGATTTTATACAGGGTGTGTCAAAATAAAGGTAATCGAACTTCAGCGCGCCTATGTATCTGAATTACTGCGTATGAACGAGATTGTTTATCTTCGGAAAGATCAGACTTTTAGCTGTTGAATGATATGTTCTTCATGCCAAATGGATAAAAAATAAGCAAGTACCAGTCCGTTAAAAAATGCTAGTCAGAATCGCATATTTTCACCGTTGTATTCGGTACTATTAAGTTGATGAATTTCACTTCAGTAAACTATACGCACATATTCATAATTATTATTAAGTAGGAATAAATCTTATCTAAGCTACGACAAGTTAATTCGTGTGATTAATTGCTTTTACTTTTGTTATGCACTGCTTTAATTAGGCACAGAGGTGAAAATATATGCTATTCTGACTAACATTTTTTATCGGACTCATACTTGCTTATTTTTTCCACTTGGCATGAAAAACATGTCATTCAACAGCTAAAAGCCTGATCTTTCCGAATATGAAAAAAATGTGTTCATACGCCGAGTAATTCAAGTACAGTAGCACGCTGAAGTTCGATTACCTTTCTTATACTGTAAATAAACATGATATTTAATAACGGTTTCTATTGGATGGATTTAATTGGATATAAGCAATGTTTATGCAAAGGCGGAGCCACTTTGACAAGAGCGAAAAGTGGGCGTATTTCGTTTCTTGATGTGTTGTCGGCAGTCCCTCCTTTCTCCGAGGGACTACTCGCGGTCTATAATAACCTGTGAAAAGTGACGATTGAAAATAGAAAATATGAAAATAGCTGTGTAGACAACGTTTGTCATGTCCATGATTCCGTTTCTTTTTAAACTTTGTAGCTACGTTCTATAACAGTAGGTAATTGGTTCAAATAAACCGGAGAACGTTCGGACGTTAGAGTGAATAGCCGTTTTCTGAGCACACCGTGTTATCATGTTTGACCAATTTGGCTACGTTTAGCGCTGGATATGTTTTTACATTCATTATACAAAGCTTTCGATGATGATATGGAATAAGGTAGAAATCAAGTTTACCAAAAGTCCAATAAATAGTTTACTTTCATCCAGACGTGTATATATGTCCTCCTTAATCAATTTTCCTTTACTTACAGTATAAATATAAATTTTCATCGCCTAGAATGATTGGTAATATGGATAAAAATTTCGGTACCTACAGTACTTGCAATGTAACATATATCTGAAAAAATAGAAGATGCGTAGCCAGGTTGAAACATTATTTATTGAGCGTTCTCTGACTTAATATTTATTTCTACGAGCTTTCGGCTATCAGTCTATAGCTTTCGACGGGTGTATACAAATGATTCTATAAAGGACGCTAAAATTAAGTAGGTGGTATGAAATCTGAGACTATCTATGCTATGTTACAAATGGGTAATATGAATATTTAGCTAATTAATGTTTCTTGAGTTCCTTTCTTAAAAGTATTGTGTACTGTGCTGGAAGCGTATTAGAGTTATTATCAGCTTCGTCTGTTAGTGCAGTGTGCCAGGACTCTAAGGTTTTAAGGTTTCTATGATTTCCCTTGTCTATCACTTTAGCATTGGCAAAGTCAATTATATGGTCTTGAGTCCATGCGTGTTTTGCAACATTCGATCCCTTCTTGCTGTGTTTTACATTCCTTACATGTTCAGACTTTCTCGTCTTGTATACACCCGTCGAAGGCTATAGACTGATAGCCGAAAGCTCGTAGAAATAGATATTAAGTCAGAGAACGCTCAATAAATAACATATATCTAATAATTTTTCCTCCAACGCAACACTAACATATCTGCCTTTCTAACCATAACTCTCAAACAATTGGCATGCATGTAAAATTCCCACATTCAGACAATCTTGGACATAACTGGTTGAGACTATTTTCCCCTATAGAAAATTCACATATTTTTATGATAAACTCCGTGTTGAATCATGTTGCCCTTCTTAAGCTCCCGCTCTCCCAATGAGCTTGTGTCATGGTATATTACCAAAATTTGTTTCGGCGCTGTTCACAACATTGAACTGGGGGGGAGGGTAGACAAAGTTTGTTTTCTCAATGTTCAATAACTTTGTAATATTGGTTGGAATGGTCTCAAGGTTTTTGTCCAACGGATTGTAGCTGTAGGTTCTTAGCCAATCACGATCGAGATTGCAGCACCATTGTATAAAAATATATATTTTTTGTTACTTTAAACTGTCTGATATAAATGACCATCCAGCTGCATTCTAGAGCCACTTAAGGTGGCAACATCCAAATGTCAAAATAACCAACGAAATAACCATGACAATTAGATATAGATTGCCCAATTCAGACTACGTGCGATTCTTTCTTTAGCTACTAGCGGACAAAGAATCTGTGATGACATGTGCTCTGAAATGGTCAATTTTTAATTGTCATGTAAGTGAAAGTTGTCAATTTTAATTGTCATGCAAATGAAAGTTGTCTATTACTGTTACAATCTAAATAAGCCGGCGCTATTCACAGATATATGTACGCCTGGCGTACCTATTTTATCATCTTTATTTTATACTGTAGTGATTCGTCTTCGTTATTCGGTTCACGATCGGAACGTCGTCGGTATAAGACATCTTGTTATAGTTAAATGAAGTATGCAACAATGCAATGTAATATGTTGAAATTTTATTGCCGATTCTACTTCATCATTGGTCTCCGTCGCTAAGGAGTCACGTGAGAGCGAGCGCGATCCACGAGGTTCATAGCGTACTTTCCTTCGAGGAGTATGGTTCTTCAAAAATTTTAATATGGCAGAAAATAGCGAAAAATACTCTGAAACTGCTCGGACTGGCGAGATTTCCGTTGCAGAAGAGACTGCTTTCCCTGGGGAAGATGGCACTGGCGATGATGGCGATGCTGACTCACCAGAAATAACGATGCAAGGGCTCGCGAAAATGATGAACTCTATGAACGAAAATATGGCGGCCGTGGCATCTTCTTTTGCTTTGATGGGATCTTCTCTGAAGAGATCTCGTGAAGAATCTAACAGCAGTAGTCAGACTAACAAGAAACAAAAAACGAGTAACGATCCAACTATTGATGACGACCAGCACACAGGCTCACACAGCGATTCAGCAGAACTCCGAGCAATTATGGCGCCAAAAGATGAAACGCCGACCACATCGACGGTCGAGCCCCCGAATTTTCTCAGTCAAATTGCGAGTGACTTTGACGAGGATGAAAATACTTCAGGTGCCGTCACCGAAAAGCTTGCTGAGATCGTAAACAAACGTTTTTCGGCGCCCTTAGGCGAAGAGAAACTAAAAGAAAAACTGGGACAGTACTTGCGTCCAGAAAACTGCGCTAAGCTCGCAGTGCCAAAGGTTAATCCTGAAATATGGATGAAATAAAACCGCCCAGCTTCAAGACAAGACCTTCACATGGCCAGCATCCAAAGGGCCATTATAAAAGCTGGTACAGCTTTAACACAGTTAGCTGAAATATTGCTAACAACTCCCCCAGGCACAACTGGTCCTGATTTAGGAAAGCTGTTGACTATGAATGCTGATGCTGTGGCATTGCTTGGTCACGCCACTAATCAATTGTCCATGCACCGGCGACAAGCTATTAAACCATTCTTAAACAAAGAGTATGCCACACTTTGTTCACCACAGGGCCCGGTTACAGAGTTCCTGTTTGGTGATGAGCTTCAGTCTCAACTGAACAACAAAAAAGCCTCAAACAAGATTGGTAACACTATGGCTTCAGAATCCCCAAGACCGCCTGCAAAAGGCAAAGAGCCCTGGAAAAATAAACCCAAGGGTCCTTTTTTGGGGGGGGGGGGCGAGGGGGCAGGCAGGACCGGCCCCCGTACAGACCAAAGTAATGGAGAAAGAACAAATCTTAAACAAACTTACTATAGTACAGGTACAGGATTATGTTTCCTTTATACCTGACCTTTCAGAATATCTTAAAAATAAAGTTTCTAACTTTCAAACTGGTAGATTGTCATCTTATGTTGAACAATGGAAAATGTTAACATCGGATGAATTTATTTTACATATGGTGACAGGGGCACACATGGCCAAACTGTTTGTAAACAATGCTACTGTATCTTGATTTGTGAAAGCACAGGATTAAAACCCGCGTTCTTATGGACTATAAAATCCTTGCATTGACATTGCTGAAACTCAACGAGCAAGAATTATTTCGAAGTACAGTATAGCTATCTGTTTTCACCAGTGAACTCTATTGGTTATCTTATGAACGCCATTCGTTCACGCCAAGACTTCTCCTTGCGTGCTATGCGGTACAACTTGAATATTTAATACGATACATATAACTAGAAACATCAGACCCAATATTTTATTTTATAGTATATTATATCATCTTTTACGTGCAGCAATCTCAGCAGGCACATTATAAATCTTATAAAGACCTTTATTGGCATTGCCATTGGCCTTTTATAGCAGAAAAAACCAGTTTCCTTCGACATGCGTCATGTTGCTGTGTTAATCAATATTTATATCAACTTCAATCTTTACCATATTTTAGAAGTTTTCATCCAACTATGCTACAGACAACTGCCAATATATCAATAGAAATTTTCCAATGCTTATAAAAGGTTATCGAGTAATGCTGTGTCTGTGCGGGACTTATGAAATATGTATAATATATCCCTGACCCTGACAAAGTGTAGAGACTAGAGACAGTTTATACCGTTATAAGGTTTTATAGGAAAGTATTTTTCTATTATATCTGCGTAGATGCTATAAGAGGTTAGATGGCTATTGAATTATATATCATAGGACATACTGTGCACTATTTTGCTATCATTATACTCGCGTGCAGAGTGCAGACAAAATAGGAAAAGCATATAGTTATCTATAATTATGTACTGTAGATCCCCTAACAATTTTTGTACCTTATATACTCCTTACTACCTAGTGTTTAATACAAACGATGAATTATACAATAATTTAAACTATTAGAAAAAACAATATGCGATAAAAAAAAAATTTTGAATCAATAGAATGTCCGGAGATTCATTGTCTATTTGCTTTGCATCTATTAAGCGTGTAACGTTTGCGCGGGAAGACCTCAAAAGGAGCTACGACCTACCACAGTATTGCATTGAAAATAACAAGTAATCAATTCAAAGCTTATACCGTTTCCAAATAACGCTAACGGCATATTATAAGACTATTGTAAATACCATGTGAAGTGAACCAGAGGCAAAACAGAAACGTGTGAAATGAAAGTGCGCCAGAGGCCTCGAGAGAACATGAGAACAATTTCAAAGCATGTACGATCATACGTTTTTATTGCTTGACTTCCTGACTTATCTGTTGCTCTAAAGTTATGTTTAGCATGTTTTTTATAATTTAAAAGCAAACAGGAACCAAACTTAGCAAGTATTTGAATTTTATATGATTCTCAAAGTTGATTGTACAGAACACTCTCACTCCTTGCAATCGAAGTGTAAATTGCGGAAGTGGAAGCATGTAATTTGATACTTTGCCTACTCCCCCTTGGGCGATCAAATTTCCGCGTGCCACGTGACCAGCCCCAGCTAGGGCCAGTTTCCTCCACAAGAGGGAAAAGCCTGGGAACGAGGTTGACACAGTGTGTGCGTGTTTGTGTGTGTGTGTCCATTTTAACTAGAAAAAGCGTGTATGATTCCATGACGAAAAATTAATATTTTAACTCACAAATTAATGTTCGAATGATATTTTATCAGAAATCAATATGATTGGCCGACCACCACAACATACCCAAGAACCAATCAGCTACATTCCTACAACCTATCAAACGGTGCTGTCTGACTCAAACATTTTGTAAATTATAGTTCAGATTGTTCAAATATAAATCCTGAAAACCAAGTCTTGTACTCGAGTTTTGTCGGTTCATCACCCCAGTACCCAATTATTTATTAGCGTTCTAAGTATTTTCACAAACATTACAACAAATCAATAATCGCGCTAAAAGGGCACAAGGACTGAAGGAGCAGCCGGCAACGTAATTGTAGAGACATTAGATCAGCCTTGATAACAGCACTATATATATCAGTGAAGTGTCGAGACTCTGGGACATAATTGTTCGGGGATTACAATAATTTACACGAATCAGATTAGCGAAGTCTCACCTTGATATATTGATCATGAACCCTTTTTGTAGATGACAGCGTTCTTGATGCAGGGAACGTACTTTTAAGTTTCGTTATATTGACTGTTGGTGACATGTCCATCATGTGCTGTGAATCAAGTGAAGCAACGTTTGGTGCATCCTAAATAACACAGAACAAAAGTTGAAGTCTGCTGCTTTGTATATAGTCAGACCAAGTTTCTCAATCCCAAACCTAAAAATGTTTTCCCAGAAATCGTGCCTAGTAAAACTTCTATTTTCTATAAACACAAGACGTACAGAAATGTCCTATCCAGAATATCGGATATTTGGCCCGGATAAACTTTAACCCATTCAGGGTTAAGCCAGTTTTCCACTTCAACCGTGTCGTAACGTGCCGTAGCATTTCGTTTTGTGTCGAAGTCATTAATTTCACTCTCTAAAGAGTTTAGGCCGTTTTTATGGAGGAGCATTAGAGACAAAAATATCATGATGTCATTATATCATTCTATTATCGTGATGCTATCATGCCATTATGTCGTGTTGTCATGTCATTATGTCGTGTTATCATGTCATTGCATTATGTCGTAATTCATTGGCATTGTAAAAAAGACGGGTACCAGGTAAGTAGGTTAACCCCCCCCCATCCAGCGTCCAAAGGGATGCCGACAATGACGCCATACCACTAATGACATCATAACCGGAAATACCCGCCGAATTTCGCGCAATGAATTATTATTAAGTATGCACGTTCAACCAAGTGCACTCTTCCCATCAGCCCCATCGCCATCTCTCCCCACTACAATACTTCATGTAAACTCGTCATATGCGCATCACTGTTTTTTTACAAAGAGACGCGTGGGTACGAGGCAGACGTTCAACTATTCCCGCATAAATTGTTGGGTATGCACGTTCAACTGTGTGTATCCGGTTTATTTTAAAATGCTTTTTTTCCCAACAAAATATGCGTTCTTCAAGGTCGAATAATGTTGACGAAGTTTCCCCTGTGGAATTTCGGAAGCTGTGTGATTTGTCAGAAACAATATTTGCACAAACTGTTTCTTGCGAGGTTTACGAGCACATCGAAGAGAGGTGCTGTGGTTGTAAACTAAATCGTTTTAGTCAGAGTGAGTGTCTTATGTTATCGTATGAGGAGAGATCGCAGATGTATGATTTGGAAGCCATAGAGCGACTAAAAGATTGTCACGTCCATCCAAATCAGTATATTTGTTGCCACGAATTGAGTGCGAAAATTCACCATGATTTAATACAATTTTCAATTTGTACTAAATGTACTTTAGAATACTGCTCCTTGTAATTGTAATTAGTGAACACAACGACAGCTAGCGAACAATGACGGCGCGTCCCGGGAAATCGATAATATTAATGAGTTACATTGCATGCCGGGAAGAGCTTCCAACCTCCTCTGGTGCGTTCCTTTCCCCGGGTGTAAATAGTCGGGCGGAATTAGTACCCTCGCACGGCGCTTCGCGCCGTCGGCTCGGGGATAAAGCGCTTATAGACATATTTTTAAGTCTCTGTAGTTTGAATTTGTGAAGATAGATATCCATTCATAAAAATTCAAAGTAAAATTGCTTCAAATATTGAAACGAAACGATATTTGCTATTTATAATTTAAATATTTTATAGGTTGTTTTTGTAGGCTCTACTGTATGAAAAACAAGTCTCGCGCGTTTGAACCATGCTTTATAGTTTTTCTGCATGGCGTCAGCAAAATACTAAAAACTCCATAATATTTTAAACTCAGGCAGGAATCATTAGTATATAATAGAGTGCAAAAAAAACAGCAATGTGGCACACAGGCACAGTGCACTAATAGCTACAGTATTAATAATAGTTTTGAAATATTTTCAATGATTTTTGAACAACTTCTGTTTGGCATCATGTTTATATATTAGTAAAATGCAAGATGTATTTAGGATTTACCTGGTAGCAACCCTGCATGCACTACGGTGCTGGTTTAAATTAAGACGTCTAAAACAGTAAAAATATCCGATGGTGCATGTTGTTTAATGTATACGGCGTAATTTTTGCATTGGATTTGGGAGGTTGAATTTAATAAATCATTACGTTTGATTAGGCGTATTAAATCTGCGGATGTAAAATTAAGCCAGTTGCTATAAGTTGTATTAAGCCAGTTGCTATAAGTGCGACTAAATAATAGGATACAAGAGATACACCATGGCTGTCCAATATAGCATACTATCATGATGAATTGAAAGCTGTGTTTAATTGAACTTTAATTTCAGCGTATTAAAAATTTTTTAAAAACGCATTGAACGTACCGTTTATCCGGTACCCATCTACCCGGTACCCATCTATCCATTTACCCGGTACCCATTTACCCAACTACCCAGTACCCATTAACCCGGTACCCGTCTTTTCTACCATGCCTTATTCATGTCGTACCTTGCCCCGATATGTCGTAATTCATCGTAACATGCCGGAAATGGTCGCTGAAAACTCGGCTATATATCTTTCAAAATGGGAAATGGGGGAATGCTACAACTTTATTAACTTATGACACGCATTAAAACGTATGCCATGAACGTCTTTTGTTGTTTCAGAGTCTATTCTCAACTCGTACTTGTGATTTTAATGATTTTCTCAACTGTCAAAGCATATACTGATAAAAACCTTGAAAAGAAGTTATCTTAAAATATCCGTTTGTTAAAGAG